ATGTTTCTTGACTACAATCGACCGATTAGCTATTCCCGTTTGGAAATAATATATCCCAACTCCATATTCTGAGATTTTCATGGTCGCAGCTACCATTGTACGGCCATAGGCGCTATTTGAAATTTATAAAAATTTACCGGGAGTACCGGTAAATTGTTATATTTAATTTTTCTCGAAAACAGAAGTGTTTTAGGTGCTAAATTTTTTAGTGCGTATAATACATCCACAGGGGCATCCAAATATATCAAAATTGTAAAGATTCACTATCCACCCAATTTTCAAAATTTCCCAAAACTTTGTATTACCTTTAAACAAGAGTCTGTCGAAACACAATTCCAGCTTTCTTCTGGAGTGTCCGGATTTCGCTTGCATTTAAATATCCTCATTCACCGAATGCCATGTAATTCGCTTGAGGTAAGACAGATTTAAGTTCTCAAAATTCGATTCCTTGTTCTGAAGAGACCGACAGCCAGCATCCTACGAAGAAGTAATAACCTACAGCGTCGACAAGTATATTTGAATGCGATCAAATTGAGGACAAAATATTAAAACAGTTTAACAATGCCTCGCTCGTATGGATTAACAATAAATAGATATGTATTCCGGACGGATTTCAATGTTACACTGTAAGGGTCCAGGGTCGGAAGTCCCGCATTTTAGCAATTAATAATTGTCAAGATAGCTGTCTTGAGAAACTCGAATTCATCCCTTAAATTGTGCACTACCCCTATGGCTTTATTTCGTTGGAAATCAAACCTGTCTCTCATACGCACTCTCTCTCTCTTTCTCTCTCTCTCTCTCTGTCTCTCAAAGGTTACACGATGTTGAGTAAAAACATGCCTCATATTCACACGCACCCTCTCTCTCTCTCTGTCTCAAAGGTTGCACGTACACTTGTGAAAACATGCCCATCCACACAATCAGACAATAAGGAAGTGTCGATCGCTGACCTCTTTACGAACTCTTGTGATATGTATCCCATATTAGAAATTGTCGTGTCGAGACGCGAGTTTGTGTAGATTTGCTGTAGTTTTTTTTAATAGAAATTAGTGGTAACTTGCACCCGACACTTCGACAATATGATGATGTATATCGAGAAACATTGCAGTGGCGGATATACGGGGGGGGGGGGGGGTAGGCCAAGTGAAAATGTGATGTGCATAGAAAAACGCCAACATGTGTCCAGATCCACATAGTATTCGTATCGCAGTGGGTCGAACCCCCCCCCCCCCCCCCTTAACTTAATCGATCAGAAAAGGTTGATCATCTATAGCTTAGATTCACTGCAAGGTTCTGGAATCATCAAAATGATAAGAAAATTGGCCCAGTCTTCATAAAGTTATAAGCACTGTACACAGAAAGATGTATATGGGACTACGCACACGTGCGCGACACGTGCGTTTTTATCTCTCACACACCAACATATAAACTCATTTACCAAATATATCAATTAGTAGGCGGTTTCCCGGCAAATTTGTTATCATCATGTATTATTAAAAACATATTCTCTTTCACATGATTGGTAATAAGAACTTCCATTTCATTTTGTGAAATTGGGGCGTTTCCAATACTGGTCTTTACCTTTAAACTGTTACTTGGTTTAAAAAGACGTTATCATGCACTGCTTGTTATAGTCTCCATTGTGTTTGTACATGTAGATGCCAGGAAAACATCACTTACCGGGGTTCAAAATAGCACCCCAAAAATAAAGCATAACTTGGGCGCAGCCATATTCTTGATAATGTAACATAACAGGCGAACTTATACCAAGCTCTAACGGGAAAGACTTTTCAATTTAATTGCAAACCATTTACTTTTCAATAAGGACAAATCACAGCTTAAATAACAGGGGAATAATTCATTCAAAAAATAAGTTATAGCACTTGACAAATCTATTTTTTTATGCGAAATTTTTACCGAAGAAGAGCATCAATGTATTTATGCAATTTTTTACAATTTTAGTTCAAAATATAAAAACAGGTTAATGAAATGCTCCATCGCTACACACACACAGGAAAGAAACATCCATAAATGTCAATACATTTACTTATTTAACGAGTTCGTATTAGTACGTCACGTAATCATGACAATGGCGTTGCCCATGTTGTGTTGGTTAACTGTTCATTATGCTAAGAATACCTTGCTTTATATCTCTCTCATACACTTTGGTGAGGGAACTTGTATATTAAAGGGTAAGAATGCAATGAATCTCTCTGAATATTTCTTGGGGTGAGGTCTCCTTTAAGTTCGCATCTCATGAGCCGAAATCACTGAACTTTACGCAATGCGTAGTGTAAAGTTCATTGACCGAAATATGCGCGTGTTTTTGTATGGTGTCTACAAATACGGTATGTTATTCCATAACGGGAAATCTTCTGAAAAAACATATCGGGATAATCTTTTCCTTTTGAAGCTCCTCAAATATAGATTTAAAGCAAGAAAATTAAGGTATGAAGTCTTAAAGTTGCGACGAATTGGAAAGATGTCAATTTTACATCTCCCATACAATGTTCCTTTCCGAGTTCTTGTTCTCCTGACTGTTCAGTAAAAGCCCGGTAATAACAATGCTATAGTAAAGCAGTGGTCTAGTAACCAGGAGGTCTAGGGTTCAAATCCAACTCCACGCGCTAGTCCCTAACGGTAAGCATTAATCATCTTTGATTGGCAAAGTCCCTCTGAGATCCCCTGTCAATCCCCTGGTTGTGTACGTGCAAGAACACACATGCTTTCTTAGCTGTCAGATTAAAAGTATACCGTTTCAGGAAGAGCCCAAAACTGAAACTTGACCATTATATGCTAACAACAAATATCTAAATGAGCTCTAGCTTAAAATCTCACCATGTGTTATTTTCAGGGTCATGTGGTGCCTGGTCACGTGTCTTTTCTTTTCGAAAACCTAATCGTAGCCAAATCTTTCAATAGCGGGGGAACCTATTAAGAGGGCGCTCGACAACAATCACGTGTTAGTGCTCTTGACTGTAGGACAGTTTAGCCGACCCGGATTGAGTTAGGCCGAATATGACGAATAATGTTTTGCTGGCCGGGCTAGCACAAAATAAAAGAATATACGCCATGTCGTGACCTACTAAACTAGATGGCCAAACTCTGTGTATAGATGGTTTTGATCCTTTCAAAAGATCTTTTAAACATTGAGAACTCCCCCTTTGTGCACTTCCGAATAATCAGTTTCTTCAACCACCCCCCCCCCCCCGCCCCATTCCAATAAATGTATTCTTCTAGATCCACTCGGCATCTATGGATAATGATTACATAACTTTCATGACAACATATCAGTTGCCTTCTCTACACGTTTGGTACTAATAACATTGTTCTACTCATGCGCAGATAGTATCTACGGACTGGAAATGCCTCCCCCTCCCATCACACCATCATGAACTGTATTTATTACGTCATCCCTCCATTTCCAGAATCACTCCTCCATTATAAGGTTCATCGACATCTCCTGCCTGAGAGCAGAGTCAATAACTGTAGCCGTACCCTGCGAAATGCACTTGATTTGTCCTTGCCTAAGATTAGAACTTCGAGGTACAAAAATTCTCCCATCCCATCTTTCACTCGATCCTTGAATAATAATAAATAGAGGCTTAGGTAATTATCAGTATGTTGTATATCATGTATTTCAGCAATATAATTATGTGCAATATCAACTGTCATGATGATTGGCACAGCAGGTTATCACATTCATTCGTATTTTGATATTGCATGTATTTTTATCCTTCCTCTCACTCTCTCATCCCTTTTCTCTATTTGAACTTGTTACTTTTGAAATTTACTTTTCTCTCCTTCAGTTCTGGTCTTTCCTCTCTATTTCTATTTCTATTTCACTCCCATCCCCTCTCTCTCATCTCCCTGTCTCTCTGTCTCTCTCTGCTCTCTCTGCCTCTTCCTCTTTCTCCCGTCGTCTCTACTTCATCCTCTCTGTTTATCTCTCTCACTTTTTGTCTCTCCCTCCTTCTCTCCAACTCTTTCTCTTCTGATGATGTTTCACAGTACAACATTCTTTAATTATCTGCCATTCTTACTGTCTAATGATTTCTATTTTGTTCATGTGCAATATGCTTATACGTGTACTGTATTCATGTCACACTTGTGATTACCACACTGCCAATATTCCAATTTTAATACTTTTTAATACTTGTTAATATTTATTACACCATCTGAATGAATTTTGTATTGCATTATATCACAGTTTTTCCTACGTTATATTTAATTGAATTCCCGTATCTGTATACATTTTATTTTATTTGTTTTGATTTAAACGTTTACCCAAGTTTGCTAGCAATATTTCATATCGTGTATTTGTTTTATTTTTTATTTTTTGTTTGGATACCGCTTCGATGTTTTGATGTACACATTTATTCATTTGTATATATTTTTTTGTTCCCATTTGCTGTTTTCTTTATATATATAAATATATGTTTTTGAATGCTTTTTTTTTTCTTTGGACTTTTTGACAAGTCGTGAATAAAACCTCATTTGAATCTTGAATGAATCTTGAATGACTTCAACCCCCCCCCCCCCCTCCCCGCCCCCATCCCAATATATCTATTCTTCTAGATTCACTCTGTAAAGAAATGAATGTGTGAGGAATTGTGAATGAACATTGTAAAGCGTGTTCACTAATCACACAACATAACTCTCTTTTTATTTTAGCTACGAGGAAACAAGGTTGCACTGACAATAAAATACATGAAAGAAAGTATTCCCTTTTCGTTAAGTTTATTGGGTGCTGATGAAGCTGACCGTACACTTGCAAAGTGAAGTCAAGCACAAGTCGATGACTCGGAATAAAAATGCATAGATGGTAAATGTGAATATTGCACGGAGTTACATTGGCCAATAGTAAATGAAATGCATGGTCATAATAAATGCGAAGGATGGACATGATTAATGCAATGAATAAATAGAGCTTACGACAGAGTGGAAATGGTGCCGAAAGTCCAATAAAGATGATGAGGATAGAGAACGAAGGAAGGGGCTCACGCGATGAAGATGCGGAGGCTTGATGGCGGAGATGTAGCTTCGTTGTCGAGGCTGAAGAGCCTTGAAGAAATCTCTACGCTGACGCTCATGATGAAGATGATGAAGAAGCTCTCAGGCGAGAAGAGAAGAGAAGAAATGTGGCGCTCGATGACGAAGCAGTGAATCACTTGATGTCGGAGGCCAAAGTTGAAAATGATGAAAACAAAGTCGGTGCCGATGCAAAGCAGTAAGTCGCTCGATGAGTCGGATGAGCCGAACTTTGTTTGATGTGAAGTTCATCAGAGCTGCGGTGAATCGAACTCGATGAACTGGCAGACGAACTACGGTGAGTCGAGCTCGTGTGTGGAAAGAGCTACCGGAACGAAGATACTGGCAGCTCCCAGCGAATAATCAAGCGCCATGTCGGGTCCTGATTTAAACGTTCCACTGGAAGGCTGCCAGCCCGTTGAAGACGGCAGAGAAAGAGTAGATGTGTCGTAAAATAGGCGAAAGGCACAGAACAATAAAGCCCGGAGAGGAAATCATGGAGACGTCTTGACTCGACCGATCGAGGTGGAAGCGGGAGTGAAGAAAAACCTCGTGGCGTTGAAAAACGCGGGTGAACGAGTGCGCGGAAACACGATGCGTGATTGGAAGGAATGAACACACGTAGTCCGAATAATGAATATAAATAAGTTCCGTCATGGAAAATTACTGGAACATGAATGTACAATAAAAGTAAGGCGAATGAATGAGTCGCTACAACTCGACCTCTATGAATAATGTTTACATAACTGTCATGACCACATATCAGTTGTCATCTCTACGCGTTTGGTATTAATAACATTGTTCTACTCATGCGCAGATAGTGTATACGGACTGGAAATGCCCCCCCCCCCCATCATACTCTGGATAAACTTTATTTATTACGTCATCCCTCCAATATGGGCAAGGGGGGATCCAATCCTCATTTTTATGACAGTAGAAAAATAAAACCAATGGGGCGAAAGTTTGAAATAATTCTAATCCATAATTCCTTAAAGAATCATTTGTTTTCCAGCCTCACCTTTTTGTCTTCCTTTTTTGTATCGTTGTTAACGCCGCATAAAAATCAACATCATATCATATTTAAATCATTAAATGAGTAAGATGTGTACTGTATTTGTGTGAATAACAAATGAAGCATTCTACTTCATCTATAGGGCAATCCCCATACATGATACAAGTGTCATCATAGATATATGATAGAAACAACTCGTATACACTCCAACAATGATCAACCATATATTTGTGTAAAATGCATATCAATACAAAATAAAATAATAAAAAGTAATAATGTTACTTGAGTTTCGTATGCACCTGTAAAGATGTACATAATGGAATTATCACTTACAAAAGCAATTACTATTACACGCAATTACTTAATCTTCCAATACATATATGCATCTTTTGTATGAGCTTCGTGAATTCTTTCTTCACACAAACCTATTTACAATAAATAGTGCTATTCTAGTAGCAATCTAAGGTGTAGATGTTAATATAATATATAATATAATGTGTGTATGTATATACATTTATACATATAAATAACATGTAAAACAAAAGTTGGTTCATAATAAAGAAATGTACATTTTCACAACAAGTAAATTAATTAGCTACATGCATTCCTTGGGACTCATTGGGTATATGTCTCACATTTAAATGGTGATGTGAATTACTGACATAATTTGCATTATTTTGATATAAATGTTCCGAGAATATAATGAATGATACCAAACGTAATACAAGGCCATTAACAAATGGAACGTTGTATTATGATATTATCCTAATCGAACAAGACCGAGTAAAATGAGACAAAACCGGGAAGACCTGTTGCCCTAAAATATACTACATGTATTATTTCACGTTCCGTTACCTTTTCCTTCATCTCTCCCCCAATCGAATGGGGGTGTGGGGGTACTCAGCGTTGAGGGCGTGTAAAATAACATATGTTTAAAGATCCACAATAGCTGTAAGCATGCATTTTCTGCAGTATTTCGCCATCAAAATAATCCCATATACAAGTATTATGTTTGTACAAAGATTAGGGAAATAGTACCTTTGCAGATTTAAGTTATTTTCACAAATCAAATAGCTTTCCCCCAAAATGGAAGAGGCAAAATAATTTTGTTTTAAAGGTAATTAATAAAAAGTATACCTAAAACCCAAATTCGTATGTTTCCAAACATTTCCAAAACAGCTGGGTTTTTTATGAATCTACATTGTCGATCATCATTACACTTAATTCATTAAAAGTGCAAACAACACATGATTTTTACAGAAGTGTTTCTATATCTAAATGTAAAACAACCTGCTGCTTAGATAATTTGAAACAAGGGAAACGCTCTTGGCGGTCTCGCCTGCATTACGCAATTCGATATGATGAAAAATTGAGGTTTGAACATTATTTATAGACAGGATGGCCCATTAGCAGACCCCAAAAAAGAAATCCTCTGAATATAATCAGCATTTTGAAGAGAATATTGACCAAGAATCATCAGAAGAATATTTACTATTAATTGTACCAGGATCGATAACTTGAATGAAATATGAACAACTTAATTTAAAAAAAGAGATTTAATTATTCTCATATTAAGATGTGAAAACATAATTCAAGTCTACTGACCTGAAATGACCTTTGACCTTGTGACCTGGAATTTGTGTCATATGATTTGTGATACTTGATAACCCTTGGGTGCAAGTTTCATGGAATTTGAACAAGCAATTTTGAAAATATGCTAACAATTCAAAATCTTGATGTTGATGCCACAACAAAGTCTAAGTTTGTTGACCTTAAATGACCTTTGACCTTAACTTAGTGACCTGAAATTCTACTCACATGATTGGGGATACTTGATAACCCTATAGTTTAAAATTCATTGACTTAGAACTTATACTTTCAAAATTATATCAAAAATTCAAAAACTTAACCCTAGGTCACCGGAAAAAGCGGCGCCTATGTCTCGCTTTTTGCTACGCAGGCGAGACAAAAACTGTAGTAAGAAGTGAAATTATTCCAAGTACGATGATGGAACTGAGACAAGAGTTACATTCAATAACATAATTACCAATGACAATGCATAAAGCTGGTTAGCAGGAGCCTATATTATCTAAACATGAAGATGAAATAAACTTAACTTCATTTATCCAGGAAGTTAACATGTTGACTACTGATTTAACATATTCTCCACAACACTAGCCCGGTTCCAGTAGGAAATGGGTTAATAAATACCAGGAAGTAGATCAGGTATATATCAGGTATGAGACAATGCAGCATGTCAACCTGACCGGGTAGAGTGTAGTCATCACTGGAACTCATCCAATGTGAGAATAAACAAATGATGTCAGGTACAAGGCAATGCACAATGTCAGCTGCAGCTGCACTGTGGCTCAATCAATTTGGGTAATGTAGTACTCATGAAACATACCGTTTTCCTGAACGAGAAAACATAATGAATTACGATAAGATTAATAACATTCAACGACATAGAAGCGCATTGTTTACAAATTCATTGGGTTATACATATAAATGATGAAATAAAGAGGGGGAGGAGGGGGGGGGGGAGCGAACACTTTTTTAAACTCAACATCCCCCCCCCCCTTGAGCACCGAAAAAAAGGGTAAATTTGTGGTAACCATCTTTTTCTTTAATTTTGTTTTTGCCAGGGATGGGGGCCCGTCTTTTGGGCCAAGGCCTACTCGACCCACCCCCTGGACCCGCGTCTGCTCCGACACAACAATAGGCTGAGATAGTCTAAGTGTAGAAATGAAAGATTCAGCAGTAGTGTCCTACCGTATCTGATGAGATCGATTTATCGTAATTGATGTAACCATTATTGTTAGCAGCATTAACATATACCCTGCGAAACAAATCTCATTTAATTTCGATAGAAATGGATACGATTGTATTTGATGCATAATGTATTTGATGCATCTATCTATATCTCACCCTCTGTGATTTTAATAACAAGGGTAATGAAAATAATGATAATAATAATATAAATAATAATAATGATAATAAAAGTCACATCTGTAGCGCTGAATATAACATTTATAATTGCATTTATAATTTACACTGTAATTATTATTAGCTCGCTATTGTATTAAATTGTTAATCCGCACATGAAAGTGCACACGCTCCGCTCCATGGGGATAATTCCAGCGCAGGCGCCATTTTACAAGCTCACATGAGCTACAACCACATTCACATTCGCTTTATACGGGCATGACCGTGTATCCATTTAGCACCTAGGTGGAGAGTGACAAATGTAGATTACTGCGGCAGCGAGACTTGAACCGATCCAAAGTCTGTTGCCGTAAACATTAGACCACTACACCTCTCCTCTCTCTCCCTCCTCTTTATCTTTCTCCCTCTCTCTCTCTTTATCTTTCTCCCCCCCCCCCTCTCTCTCTCTCTCTCTGCATGGAAGATTCGTGAACTTCGATTATCCTATATGTACTGTCATGGTCGCAAAATATATAATTGAAGATAATGTTTAAAAAAATACTCATCCAATTTTAATTCATTTACGGATTTAGAGTGATTTTCAGACGAATCGCATCGAAGAGATCCATCATGTCCCCAATCTTTCTTACTTTTATTTTTCCTCTTCCGTCCCCTTCCTATACCTCTCACTCTTCCTCTGTATCCTTCTAAATCTCTTCATATTCCTTTGCTAGTTTTTTCCTCTTCTCTCTCCACTTTCTTTGTTTCTCTCCTCTCCTTCTCCCAATCTATTTATTTAGTTATAATTCAATGTTACATTACGTCCACAAATTAATATATCTTTTTTTTAATATTCTTTGTATGAACAAAAATTATGAATGAATAATATTAATAACATGGCGAACTATTTATTCCTACGATATACCAATACTTCTTTCCTACAACTTTGTTTTTCTTTCTCTCTCTCGCTCTAGATTTATCTCCCTCGTCGCTTTCATCTTGATCTCATTCGATTCCTTTGCCAGTTTCCCCCTTTCCGCTTCTATCATTCCCGTTCTTACTTCACCCTATTATGTTAATTTCATTCCTATTTACTATTTAAGAAGAGTTGCAGTACCACACCTGCTATATACATGTATATCTA